ATATGAGGGGCCCAAAGATCGAACTCATTTTCTACTGATTCAAGGTAACTTGAAACTTTACAGATATGTTTTATTTGATGCCAACGTCCAATGCCTCAAACATGAACATTCTGTTTGAAAACTTGCCAAAGTTATTAAAAAAATAAATTATGATTTTTTCGATTGACAATGAAAAAATTAGCAATTTCGGTACTTTTTCGTTTTAAGGGTAAAATTGCACAAACACTTGCTATATTTTTTATTGCAATCATTTCTGAAACTCCTTTGAATGAAATAAATGCAAGAAGAATGCTTTGATTTGTTTTTTGGTTTGCCGAGAGAAGGGAGTGACACTAAGAAAAACAACTCTTGGGATTTGCTCACTTTATTTGAAACTTACCGTCTTGCATTAAAGACCTGTGGCACCAGGCAACAATCTGCCATGGAAATCTCATCGCCCACGCAATACTTGCCGGCCGAGGTGGAAAGTGCTTTCTCGACAGCCCGAAAGCCGCGTGTAATCCAATGTTGTGCCCATTCTTTTTTCTTTTCTTCGCCGACATGAATGAGTACAATGAGGTTTTGTAGGGGCTGTATACCCGAACAAATAATCTCTACAATTTCACGCACTTTAGCGCGTTTGTGCACATCTTGTGGCAACAGTGGACGTTGTGGACGCGTCTCTTCCAAGTAGTGCATAATAGCTACGGACTCGATAAGTGTGTGGCCATCTGAATGGGAAGAAAAAAATCAAATCAATATATTTTGTTTTCAAATCGTTGCAAAAAATTTTTCAAAACCCTTCTGTGCTTACCAATCTGCAATGCCGGCACCTGCTCCATCGGATTCACCTCACGATACTCATTGCAATGCTGCTCGCCACCTGACTTGATTAAGCTAATGGGCTTGATGTCATATGGTATCTCCTTCAAATTGAGAGCGATGCGTACACGCCACGAACAGGAACTCCGCCAATACGAATAGAGTATTGGCTTCGATTCCGTGATGTAATTTAGTTTGCAAGGAGTAGAAGAATCAGTGGTTTGCGATTTAGACATTATTTGGTTTTGTAAATATTTAATGGTTAATAGTATAAGAGCTAATAATGTTGTTTTTTTTGACGTAGAATACGTCGTACGTTTCGAGATGGGAGGCTATGCTCAAATGTTGTAGTTGTAATTTTTAGAGCTTCACAAAAACGCCCCTGCAAACCATTTTTTCAGAGTATTCTGAATCGTAAAGAATTTTTAAAGAATTCGGAAAGATCCCATCCGATTTTTTGCCGAATTTTCTAAAATGAAATAAATTACGCACACTTCCATTCTTTTACGAAATTTCGGAAGAAAATCGGTAAAGAAATGAAAATAATGCTGCTATGTGAAGAATTTCTTGCAGACTTCTTTCAGAATTTTCTTTATTTTTCGTACAGAAATTTCTTTACGAGTTCGTGTCAACCCCTTCATATAAGTTTCTTTGAAGATTCGGAAAAAAAACGTTACAGAAATCAGATACTCCTAACGATTTCCTTAAGATTTCGGGAACTTTGGTTTGCAGGGTGTTTACGCCCGTGCTAGTTAGTACTGTATTCGGCAAAGTTGGTTTGGGAGACATTTTCTTTCATAATTTTTAGCGTTTGTTCATGTTGAGTAACCACTGTTGGACAGTGTTATCAAAACGATGAAATAATTTTGCTCTTGTGAAGGCTTTACTTGTACAAGGGGCTAACCTCTATACTTACATGCCTTAACCTTGAAATAGACATTTCAGCAAATTTGTTCCAAATAAATGTAAGTACAACTATCAAATAAATAAAAATAAATTAATAAAAGCCATCCTACACGCATGTAGTGAAGGTAAAAATTTTAGCTCCCGAAGTAAAATTTTCTGATGTTCCAGAAAGGTATGAAACCTTTGGCATAGCCGAAGGCAGCACTGTCCAGCGCTGGATTTGCACTAGGTGCTCTCGGAGTACTTACATTTTCTTTAAAGTAAGGGTGCTCATCCAGTAGCTCAATTGGCTGAGTTGATTCACAACAACATCACTGTCGTTAACAGCTATTTTAAGCTATTTTTGAGGTATTTGAAGGAGATTGGTACCAATCTTAATGCGTTTGAAAGGCTTTATTGAGAACTTTATTTAGTAGGGTTGCCACTTGTTTAAAAAGCAATTTAAACTTGAATTATGGCACTTAGGTAATTTAAATATGTGTCACAATAAGCAAGTTTTAAAAAATTTCTGAAAAATGTTATCGTTCAAAAGCAACGTTATATATGAGGAGATGGGAAGGTGGGGCATACGGTTTATCTGATCGGCCCAATAGTTTTACTATAGCTTGCTAGTAGCATGAAGAACAAATGTACCAAGCTTGAAAATGATAACTTTCTTTTCAGAATTTATGCCAAAAAGAAAAATTAAATTCCGGCCAGTTGCATAGTAGAAATTAGGCTGCTTTAAAGAGTTCAATGAACTTCCTGTATGTTCGTAATTCTTGACAACACACTTAAACACCCGCACACCAAAACTTACTAATGACGTTTTAACTAAATAATAATAATGAAGCAATTGATGCCACGCTTAGCCGAATTGTGTCGCACCCCAAGGTCGGGTCATTGACCTTCTTTGATGTGAGCAAAACACAACGACCATCATATGTACGTTCAAATAGGGAGCGCTTTACTTTGCATCGGCTGCCGTGTTAACACACAAGGACATTCACCTCGCTTAAGAGTAAATAAGTATGCAGTAGGCTCAGTTTATTTTTGAGTGAAATTCTCATGCTACAAGAAAATAGCGCGTCCTTTATTGTTAGCCCATTCCTCCTCACTCATTGATTTGTTAGGCATTTTATGCTCCTTCAGCTGTTTTATGCCATAATACCGGTTGCATATTATGTTGCTTATTCATAACATGGAGCAAAGTATAACACACAATATGATGGGGAGAATAAATTTTGGTAGGAAGAGTACGAGCTAGGAGAAAGAGTAAATTGAGGAAATGAAATTGTTGAGAGTATGAGCGATGAACATATATACATATATGCCATGTGTTTGTGGTGTATAGTAAATGATAGTGTGGGGAAAGTGGTTATTACTAAAGCAAAATAAAATGACAAAAGTTTTGAAAGCGCCCGAAACCGGCCGAAAGCCCTTAGTAAGCTATAGTGACAAAAGCTAACCTTCTACATATACATATGTACAAGTTGATTTGCCACAAGCTCAAAGCCGGCGTTTATTCTAAACAAAAGCTTGACTTTGAACATGTGTACATATACACAGTACGCCCTTGGTAAAAGCAAAAGTCCATAAACGCAGCACCTCGGTTTAAGCAACATCCAAATGTTTACCATTATTTATTAGTAATCATCATTAGTAATTGGAACTTAAAAAAAAAATTATGTTTCAGTAAACGCAACTTTCTATCCATAATTCTCTTTAATCGATTCAGCAGAAGACACCTTAACTATTCAAATGCTGAGGGAGTGGACCGTCGATAAGAATGAAACCTTATAAAAATAAAAAAAATAAACAATTTTCAATTTTTCAAAACAAATTAACCAAGAAATATACTTATTTAGATTTTGTATAGGTACATACATATACATGATTTTCAAGTGAATTAAAATAATAGATTTCTTTTGTCTTAAGCTTAGAATCCAGCTCTCAAGAAAAATTAAAAAAAAAATATTTTTTATTATTCTGTTGCTTGGAAAAGCACTTTCCTTTTGCTGTTAATTTTCTTGAAGAATTAAATATACGAGCATTTTTTCTTGAGAGCTGCAAACTGATTTAAGTAATTTTGATAGAAGAAAATTTCTTTTCCATTTCTTGTGCGTCATTTTATATGCATTTTTCATTTTTCTTGAGAGCTGGAAACAGCCCTAACAATATTATTTTACTTAAGATATTTTTTAGGTTAAATCATTCCTTCAGGCTAAACAACCTCAATCAACGCAACTCGTTGCTTTTCGCGAGGGCGTACTGTATAAGTATTTACATACTTATGCACATATACTTACAGATATGTACATGTGTACTTTGTATTTATTTGACAGAGAACAAGTCTGCCATATTAAGCCGTCCCATATTAAGTAAGCTCCGAATATTCTTTGTAATCCTTCATTTCGTTAAGGCTGGGTTTCACTATTTCATATTTTGACACAACAAATTTTGTTGCAAACTTTCAAATTATGTATTCTTACTCACGAAAGCTTAGCGTTATGAACAGAGAAGTGTTAGAAAACTGTTAAGGTTTGCCGGAATATTCAATAGCCTTACAAAATTTTTGCGAGCGGTTTGAGTGAAATGGCACATGCGCAGACTAGAAGCAATTTTGAAAGGATATTCAACATAAAAAAATACATTAGGTGCGAATGCAAAGTAACTAAGCAGTGATGCCAGATAATAGACTTATTTTGGCATTTTATATCCTCATAGCTGGGCATTGCAAAATACATTAGAAATCAACTTCTGTTTCGCCAATCAGTTTAAAAACGGACTGGGAAAAATAAAAAAGTATTTTATGAATTTTTTTAATGTAAAAAATTAAAAGCCGATAATGGTTATATAATTCCCACTTTCACATTATACGGTGGCTGATTTTCTTTATTTATTTAATGAATACTACTTTTTATGAACGTATAGCTCGTTATCTAACCAAAACCAAGTAAGTCCAAAGTTCAAACTCTATACAAAAATTTGGGAGATTCGAAAAACTTCGACAAAATGCATACAATTTTCTAAGTTTTTGCACTGATATCAGTTTTATAGCCTATTAAATAAGGAAATATACCGTTGCCAAAAATCTACAGTAAATCTTAGCTACTGGGAGCTTGCTGCAAAACTCCATACCTATCTTCTAGAGATGGGCGCGGGATGTCGCAACCCACGGTACTATCTTCAAAACGGCCGGGATAGGCGGTAGGGGGACGCTTCCTCGGACACAAAAATGGACATTGGGGAGGTCCGCAATTGCATGCGAAAAATTTAAGTAGCAATTTTTATGCTCCCACCCACTAGGATTGTTCTACACCGAAAAAAATATAACCCTATTTTTTATTTTGAAATCAAAAAATATTTAGAGGTCGCTCAAAGCTTTCCATGTATGTATTTTATATGGGGGAAAAACAACTTTTCGTAGAAATAGTGTAGAATTCTTGAAAATCAATATTTTCGATCGGAAAACTATGTTTCTCTTAAGGAGATTTCTAATAAAATTACCGAACTAACTATTTTACCATTTTTTAATACTAACTATTATTTATAGGTCCCCCAAAAACCCCGAAAAATGCATTCTCAGACACATAAAAAATCGTTAGTATTAAAAACGGCAAAATAATTAGTTGGGTATTATTATTGGAAGTCTCCGAAAAGAGAAAGAATTCTGTAACATTTCTACCAAAAAGGCGGTTTTCCTTATATAAAATACATGAACATCTTCATTGGCTTTGAGGCAGTTCTATATATATTTTTTTTTTAACAAAAGAGTACGGACAATTTTTCCATTTGGAAAAATCCTAGGGAGCTTAAAATTTAAAACTTTTCTTTGAACCACCCTAATGGACTCGAAAAGCTAATTCGAAGCATTTAAAATTAGCTGGAAAGAGCTCTGGGAGACTCCAAATAGTTGGCACAGTTTCTTTTAAGACGTGGCTACAATTGAGAGTATCTCAAAATATTTCGGAACACAGGTAATACCATTTTGTTCACGCTATGCCTTTGAAACGCGAAACGTACTGCAGGGTAGACTACATACATACATACTGAAATCAGTAGAGAACTTGAATTAAATATGCGTACATACATTTTTCACATTGTTAATGATTTAAGACCGGCTAAATAACGTAGCATGCATATAAGCCAACTATATTTTAGTAGTACTGATGAGTTTTCCTCTCCCCGGGCGTCATCCTAGAAAAAAATGTGTTCGCTAACGAGTGCCAAAATCGCTAAAGGAAACCGTGGGCAGATTTTTATTCTAGGTATAGCAAATCGAGTTTTGAGTTCCTCTTTAGTGCCAAAGTTTTGCAGTATTCTACATAGTTGCAAAAATACGTTTATTGGTTGCATATTTTTAAACACTTTTACAAGCTTTACAAGCTCTTAAACTCAACAATGACAATACTGTGCACTTGAATTACTCTTCTACATACATGAATGAGGCAAGAATTACTCTTTCGTCTATCGAAGGCCTGGAAAATTAGATGTTTTTTTTATTTATGTTTATCTTAGATACTGAGACCGTAAGCTGTAGGTTTATCTCACAACTGTGTGCCTTCACCGTCAAAACGAAAAAGACATGCTAAATTACAACGGATTTGCAAGTAAAAAACAAGTCTGGCAACGCTTCTCAACCAAAGTTACTCGTTTGTAGGATGAGAGCTAAGAGCGTGGTATGAGTGAATTTTTCCCAATCGACTCGCCTAAGAGAAAACTGAAAAAAAAATTTNTATATACAGAATGCATGCCAATTGTCAATTAAAATGCAGCGCGAAATGGCACAGAAACGAACTAATGCGCTTAGTAAAGTTGCATTAATCTCTTTCTGGCTAGCGTTGGTGTGAGTGAATTCAAATGATGGTGTGATGGCTAAATTTTCTCGCTGTACTTTTCATAAATCGACCATGGAGGATTTTATGTAAACTTTAATATACACATATGCATGTATGTATGTTGGCAATTGTTGGGAACTTACCTTTGCTATGGCCGACAAGGACATAGCGTTGTGATGGTACTTTGAATAGTTAATTTTGAAGCCGTTTATAACACACAAACACACACTAATAAAAGCGAATCGCACGGGAAACTATCGTAACGATTCCCAGCTTTAGAGTTTCTCTTTACTTTCGTGGTGTGATATCCCAAAGGATATGCTGATTCAATTTTAATCTAAGAATCTATTCACAAAATGCAGCTTTTTTTTTATCTATAAGTGTTCCTTTTTACGTGCTACAGGATTTTAGTTTCACTTTCAATAGCCCGAATACACTGCCAGGGCACAAACATCGAGCGTGCGTAGCCAGCGAGCGAATCGAATTGAGTCACTGTAGTACAGCTGCTCGTGCCACACTAAATTGCACAGCAATGTTCGTAAATTTCTATATATTTTTTTGGATTAAAATAAATACTCGCTTAGCTGTACAGATTTTAAAATAAATTTTCACTTCAATTGATTTTCCAAAATTTTACTTTGTAGGCTTTGCCACTTCCACCGTATGCCTTTTTCAATTCCGCTCCAAGTCCTTTCCCAATGCTTCAAATGCTGGGGCAAGTGTCACAATTGGTTAGTTGCCGCAACAAAAATATCACAAAACTTTCCGTGCTGATGGTTTGCAACACACTAACAATGCAAAAACTGAGTAGCCGGCTGAACCAAATCAAACTGATTTGCGTTAAGCTCAACTGCACACATGTATGTATGCACATATGTATGTATGTGTGCACATTTACTCACAAATACATAAGCTTCCACCGCCACATTCGTCCTTCTCATGCATCCTTTTGTACGTTGTTTTAGGGCAAGCAACGTTGACAGCTGCTGTTGCCACATTCTGACTAGCAAGAGCTTATTTGGGAGAGCGTATACGAGCATACTTGTGCAGTGGTGAATTATAAAAAGCTTGTGCGTATTTTTGCACGCAAAGTTTTCAAATTTAAGTAAACTTTTGCGTGGTATTAGAAGTGTACTTTGGCGGTTTTGGTAGGAGCTAGAGCTTCCAAAAATTTGGAGGAAAATTTGCTTTTAAAAAAATTTAGCTTTAGAACGGTAATGGACATCGCCTTGCCCGCGGGCGAAGCTCTTTTAAGCTTTATATGCATTTTGTATAGACCGGCGATGTGCATCGCCTTGTGCACGGGCAAAGCTCTTTTATGGTTGCCATGCATTTTGTATAGACGCACGCAGAGTAAAAGCTCTCTCTGCCCATCGCTGGTTTAGACGNAGCGAAGCTCTTTTAAGCTTTATATGCATTTTGTATAGACCGGCGATGGGCATCGCCTTGTGCACGGGCAAAGCTTTTTTATGGTTGCTATGCATTTTGTATAGACGCACGCAGAGTAAAAGCTCTCTCTGCCCATCGCTGGTTTAGACGCATTGACGAAAAAATTCGCTTAAAAACAAACTTCGGCGAAAAAGACGCGTAAATAAATAAATGTATACCTACCCACAATCACAGTTGACCGCAAAAATAAGTTAACGCGTCTTTCTTCGCCGTCGACATGATTTAGGAGCCTTTCTTCGCTGATGTTCGCGCCTTTGTTCGTGTCTAGGGCCGATACAGTTTTAGTTAATGAAGTGCAAGTCACAGAAGCGGCTAAAAAATCACATTGATTTTTAGTTTTTTTTCGGTGACGTGCTTTTAAGTTTTTATATTTTTTTACAATATTTTTTATAGAAAAACTGGCAAATACCCGGCGTACTTCACTGCGCCTTAAAAATATTTTTATGCTGTTACTTCTTCCCACTTACGGCTTTATGCATAAAAAGTAGATGTTAAGTGAACCCGAATGTTATCTGTGGTATGTTATCTCCCATTCGGAGATAATGT